TTAAGTATTAACAGACAAATAAAGATAATTAATAAACACAGGTGGAACCAAATTAACTAATCAGGGCAACTCAGGAAAACTAGGTCAAAGGAAGACTAAGGCAGGAGAACAGGAACACAAACAAAAGTCCATAACTGTGACACTTAGAAGACATTTGCTAGAAAAGCAAAATATTTCAAAGCAAAAAATATAAAAGCATAATCATTTTATGTCATTTTTTTCTTGTGAAAACACATCTAAACATCCTAAAAAACATCATTTTGGTATCTCAAGTAAATTTATTGTGCATATTTTTTTTTTTTTTTTTTTTTAATCCTGCAGTTGCAACACAATTTGTTTTACACAGAGAACTGAGGAACAAAACAAACAAACCCACAATCAATCGTACAGCAGGACATGGGCCACTGTTATTTCAAAGCACACTTAGAAAGACACATTTTTGGCCGGCCCTGTATACACATTCATTCCCGTAAACCGGGGCTACAGCTACTGTTCCTCCAACACATGCATTAAGGTCTTGGCCAGCAACTGTCAAGCACACAGATACAGGGTCTGGACTAATGGAGCGGCCTCATACACACTCCCTGCTGGAGCGGGGCTCAGTGTGCCTGGCTAATTACAGCCACCCCTGCATGGCACTGTTAGGCAGCAATACACTGAATGCTGGCTCCAGCCGGCCTCTCTTAATGGGAGCTAATGGTTTCTCCAGTGGTAATGGCTGGCTTGCTTGGCGAGATGTTGTTGGAGGCGCTGCCCGCATTGTGCTGGACCCTTTTGGTCGAGCTCCATACTCCCCTCCTTTGAGAGCCGTCCTATTATTGTGTTAGTATACACCAGTCCCTGACCTGGCAGCAACACTTTCTGTCGGCCCGCCACTCTCCCTGGGCTTTTATGCTTAATGCTTGTATAATTGATTTTAATTCAGAGCCTTAGAACTATTGAGTTTGATTTGTGTGCATTTAAGATGCATTGACTTAACTTTGGCATATTTACATTTGAAACAAGACAATAAGAAATATGACCTCCAAAATCTCTATAAATGTTCTAAATGCCATGTTGTACAATCTGTCTTTTGTCCCTAGAACCAATTATGATTAATTCAACACCTATGTGGACCTTCAAAAAATTTTTAGAACTTTACGTGTTAGAGAATTCTTTGGTAATAGATCTATTGTGGAACCCTTGAATACCCTCTCTAGTGTTGAAGATACTCCTCCTTCTGGTCACTCTCCCCCTTCTGAAACAACGAAAATTTCTACAAATTTTCGAGGTAAATCATCATTTGTTCCTTTTAAGAACAGAAATGCCGCATTAGAAACGTTCTGTCGTCTTGTAGAGGGGGATGTACGGGAGGTATTTTCTAACAAGCGTGAGTACAAAGTTTTTAATAACTTAACTAAGGATGAACTAAGTGCTCTGTTGGATTTAAGAAAAGATAAGACTATTATAGTCAAACCAGCAGATAAGGGTGGTTCCATTGTAGTAATGAGTTTTGCTAACTATGACCTAGAAGTGGAAAGACAATTAAAGTGATGATGTCTTTTATAAGAAATTGAGTACTGACCCCACCAATGTTTTTAAGAACGAAATTCAGGAATACCTTCAACAGTTTGTGGATGTTGGTGAGATTACAAAACAGGAGTTTGATTTTATGAAGGTTGATTATCCAGTTACACCAGTCATTTATATACTTCCCAAAATACATAAAGACCTTACTAATCCTCCAGGAAGACCGATTATATCTGGAATCAGGTCTCTTACTGAGAAAATTTCAACATTTGTGGATTTTTTCTTAAAGCCAGTTGTATTTACATTGCCCTCCTTTGTAAAAGACTCTATCGATATGATAAAAATGTTAAAATCCATTGTTTTACCTGATGAAATATTTATTGTCAACATTCGATGTTGAGTCTCTATACAACAACATTCCACATGAAGGAGGGATTGAGGCAATAGAAGTCTTTCTTAGAGACCCACATCAAAACAAAAACCCTAGTGTTGATTGCATTAAAACATTAGCTAAAATGGTGTTGACAAAAAAAAATTTCAGATACAAAGATGATTTCTTTCTTCAGATTAAGGGTACCGACATGGGCAGTACCATGGCCCCAAATTATGCAAACATGTATGTGGGCCTCAAAATCCCTTTCTCTCAAATATTGTAATTTGGCGAAGGTATATTGATGATATTTTTATGTTATGGTCAGGTACTGAAAATCAACTGTTACAATTTCACAGTTTTCTTAACACTAGGAATGTCTTCTCTCATCCTCATTCAGGAAGGGAGTTTAAAATTAAGGGTGTCATCACTTGTTCTACTAAAAATGTTATTTATATGATAAAATGTCCATGCGGGTTGGCGTATATAGGAAAGACACAACGTGCTTTAAAAACTAGGATTGCAGAACATCGAAGCAGTATACGCACAAATGATTAAAAAAAACCCGGTAGCAGTACATTTTAATTAAAAAAGGCGTAACCTTTCCACACTTAGGTATATTGGAATTGAACATGTTAAAGTACCTAGGAGAGGTGGTGATGTCAACAATATCTTATTAAAAAGAGAAACTAATTATATTGACTTTAACTCATGTTTCTAATTGATATATTTTTTGTATTTAAAGGTGAATGTTGTTGATACAGTCTCGTTTGTACCTAAATATGTGTTGTATAGTTATGCATTGATTAGTTCTAGGACAAGTAATTAAGAATTATAAAAAAATGCGGGAGTGTTTTGATATTGTGGCTGTATTTACATTTTTGCCTCAGTGTGGTTGTCTTGTTTTAAATGTGATATACTATAGCTGTTCACATGATTGACTTTGATTACTAACAGGTGTCATCAATTGGAACTCTGTTTGAATCTGAGTACTTATTGAGCTTTTGCCTTTGCTTGTATGCGTGTTTGCCTGACGAAGGTCTTTGACCGAAACGTTGCTATTTTTAACTTTTTTGAATAAAGGGAGAATAACAGTGTGCAGATAATTTTTCTATTATTTGATGTACCTTTTGATCTTGCACCTGGCTAAGACTTTTTTGGATGTGCGTACTTTGACCCCTTTCTTTATGTGGTACGATCTGTCACTGCAAATAATAATTTTCTTAATCTGATAATTTTGGCTTCTCAAGTAAATTTATTTTGTTGTAAGGATGCTTAGATATTTTTTTCTTGTAAAACAAGACAAAAATACTAAGAATCTATTTATTTATTTATTGCTGGAAGTATTGAACTTGATTTGTGTGCATGTAGGGTGGGTTGGTAGCTGACTAGTTCATTTCTAGCCTAATTAGTTGACTAGTCATTCAGGAAAAAGCCACTGGCTAGTTGATTCTGAAAATATGTCGTTTTATACATCCCTAGTGTGCATGTGTCCATCTGTGTGTTATTTGCTTTCATGATGTCTCTCTATCTCTGTGACTTTGTCTTCATTTCCCGCTTATTTTGTTCCTATTTTCTTGTTTTCTTTATTTGCCTGTGTTCTTCCTCTCCTCTCGTTCTTTGTTTTGTTTACGTGTTTTGTCTTTCTTGTCTAATTTCCTCTGTCCTTTCTGTCTCTGTCTCTCTTGTCTTTTTTCCTCACTGTCTCCGTGCTTCTTTCTCTCCCGCGATTGTGCAACTCGCTCGCGGCTCGGCATTGTCTTAGCACGACAACGGCTGATAAGTCCTTTGTGCCGTCTTGTTTCTGAAAAGTGTGGAGGCTGGCGAAACTGTCACACTTATTTCAATAACCATCATGGCATTTCTATTACAATTATGATCTTGCCATACAGGGCCAGGGCCTGGAGCCCCCTGCAGCCACAAAGACCCATCAGCTCCCACATACTCATCACTCCTGTCCCGTCAGCTGTCACCCTTATCTTTTCACTTTTCAGTATTTCTTCTCAATAAATGACACGCCACTGACAACAGCTCCATCAATAGTGCCTAGAAGATGCTTTGAAAAAGAAGAAAATTCTAGTAAAAAAATGGCATTGTTGCTGTAGAGTAGTGGATAGTGCATGTGCTTAGATACCAGAAACTGGTCCTGGAGGTGCGCTGTCCTTAAGAGTTTAAATCCAACTTTTATCAAAAAAGTTAATCAAGATCTTCAGAAAAAATGTACATGTGCTGCAGTTCAAATGTTTGGGGATGGTAAGATTTATGTATTTAATGTTTTTGAAAGAAGGTTGCATTTATTTGATTAAAGGGGTAGTTCACCCAAAAATGAAAATTCTGTCATTAATTACTCACCCTCATGTCGTTCCAAACCCGTAAGACCTTCATTCATCTTCAGAACACAAATTAAGATATTTTTGATCAAATCTGAGAGCTTTCTGACCCTGCATAGACAGCAATGCAACTAAAGACATAGTAAGGACATAGTTAAAATAGTCCATGTGACATCAGTGGTTCAACCGTAATGTTATGAAGCTACAAGAATACTTTATGTGCACAAAGAAAGCAAAAATATCAACTTTATTCAACAGTTCTTCTCTTCCATGTCAGTCTAGCTTTATAACATTACGGTTTTACCTTTTCTGTTAAAAATAATAGTGAGTCTGCACAGATTGCCTTGCTACGAGCATCCCGAGTTCGAATACCGGCTCGAGGATCTTTCCCGATCCCTCCCCCCCCCTTTCCCAATTTGCCTCCTGTCTCATCTACACTGTCCTATAACAATAAAGGCAAAAACACCAAAAAAAAAGTCTTTACTAAAAATAGTGACAAAAAGGCCCAATAAATGTAACCGTGAGGCAACAGAATGGATGCTGGTATTGTGCAAGATATAATGGTATTGTGTCCCCATTCCATAGTATGGCATAGCTAATCAAAAGAACAATGCTACGCTAATAAGCTAAGCTGTTAGTATTGTAACTGATGCCTAAATGAAAACACAAAGAAAGCTTTGGTAGTATTTGGTAACATTTTGGCAATATTTAAATTCAGATTATCAACATTAGATCAACAAAATACAATGAAAGTCATGAATTACCATCATTTTTTCCACTCTTGTCCACAGATCCTTGCAGTGACACTCTGAACAGCTTGAGTGTGGCCTGTCGGGTGAACCCAAAGACCTACAAGCAGTTTACCTTCGCCCCAGCCGATTCCTGCCCGCCCGACAGTACACCCATCTGCGCCAGCGACGGCCACACTTACTATAGCGAGTGTCAGATGGAGCGGACGGCCCTGCAGAACAACCTGGAGCTCAAGAAGGTCTCTTCAGGCAGCTGCAAGGAGAACGGTGAGTTCCTCCTAAAGCAGAGATGTCACAGACTCCCAGAAGCTCATGCTCGTGTCTGATAAAGGAGCCCTACGGCCGCATTTGATTTATTTTGTCATGGCTGCGGTGAGGAGGTTCTGGACAAATTAAGTCAGGTTAGCAGTACTGTCATGCCTACACGATACCAATCTCCACAAATCCAATTGGCCTGTCGGGCTCTGGCAGGTGTATTGTGGCAAGACTGTATCTTCACAGGTGATGAAAAGATCGTCCCTGCTTCGTTCTGAAGCCCTGTGGCAAAGTGCAGAGAGAGTGTGTGTTCAGCTGTGATAGTGTGCGAACAGTGGCTTGGTGTGTATGTGTGTGTGCCTGTGTCTGAACTGTTTGTGCCGTGAGCGATAGCAGTGTTATTTGTGGGCCACTGTTGTCCCAGTAGAGAGCAACTGTTTCTGTGCCGGTGTAACTCGAGAAACAATAGTATTTGTCTCCGATGAATGTCTTACTTTGTTAGATACATGTCTAGCATGTTAACATGTGTTTGGGATCTGCTCAGTCAATATGTGAATCAAAATGTATCACTCACATCATTAGTGTTAATGTAATACATGTTATTTGCTATTATTACCATAATTTTCTATTTCCATATCTCAAAACCTCCTCAAAGTAGATGCCAGAGTTGTTCAAGATACCTCAGATCCTGATCAAACATGTATCATGTTATTGATAATCAAAAGAGTCTTTCTTAAACAGTTAGTAATATAATGTGCTAGTAGGCTTAGCTGCTAACTGAAGGTTAAATGAAAACAAAGAAAGGGATACTGTATGTTTAGTCACCATTTTTAACTTTGCTAATATTTTCTTTAGCATAGCCTGCTATCTTAGCACAGAGCTAACTGGCTAAACAAAGGCTATATTTTCATTAGTTAGAACAAGATATTGTGATAATATGCTACATTTTTGACCAGACATTACAAAGACTTCCAGAGGGGATATGATTATGTGGGTTGGATTGATATTTACACCAGCAGCTTTTCAAGAGAGAGTGCTCTATAATAAACTGAAAACTCTCTTTTAGGTCTGTTCTTGTTTGAAGCACCCAGTTTTCCAAAGAGAAAGGAAAAATTGAAATCGCATCATATGATCCCTTTAATCAAAAGAGCCTTTTAGTGCAGGTTAGCACTATGCTACGCTAGAACACTAAGCTGTTAGTTTCCCAGATAGCAAAATGACTCCGGAGCGGATCCGCCCCGGAGTCACAATGAACAAAGATGGTGTGATTATGATTTCAGGCTGCATCACTAGTGAGATTGTGGACTGATGTCATTCAGAATACTTCATCCAGCTCCTACTGCTTGAAGATCAGGACACGTCACACTGTCATTTGATCAGAGGAGAAATTGTAGTCTGCCGTTTAGCCAGTAGTGGACGACTGGATTAACAGTGACTATAAGCAGGATAAAACTGCATTGTGGTCCTAGCAGCTCCTGGCCTGACACGTTCATTGCTGGCCATAGGGATCTGTGCAGAGGACTTGTGTGTTTCTCGTGGTCTTTGCTGAGGATCTGTGCTGATGTCAGTTTAGTCGTGATGTTCAATTGTCGTGGTCTTCACTGACATTCTGCAGGGCTGCGTTGTGGTCGTCTCAGGGTGCAGGTCCATCATCTGGTCTGGATACGGACCGGATCCGGCTGACTATGATAACCTTAGGACAAGAGTGTGACAAAAACATTGAAATAAGTAACAAGTATCGGTGTTGACTTTTTCTCACAGCACCTGTAATCACATGAAAAATATAGCATAATATCCCCTGCAGTTATTCCTGAAGAGGGGTGAAAAATTACCTAACGTTACATATACGCTCAGGACTACCGCGTCTCACAAAAAGAAGGAGATCCCGTCTAAATAGGCCTGATATTACTCAAATCTACCATAATGCTAATGTGCATATAAAGCATATTTAAACCGTATTCTTGCCGTGTTCAGCCGGCCGCAGCTTCACCACTCTGAGGAGGATTTGATTTGAGTTCAGAGACGCGACTGTTAGAAAAAAGCGCGTTCTGATTGCGAATCCGCCCAGCCTCCGTAACGAGTCCGCTAGTTTATTTATATGTACTAAAACAACATTACGAGGAGAGGTGGGGAATATATTTGTCGAAATATAAATGAAAATAGACTTGAACTAATATTCTAGAACCAAATTTAAATGAAAAAAAAAAAGTTTATTCTCGCCTGCAGTTATTCCTGAAGAGGGGTGGACAATTACCTAATGTTACATATACGATTAAAAGCCGGATAGTCAACTAAACTAACGTTACCCGTCTCACAGAAAGGAGGGAGATCCCATCCAAATAGGCCTATTATTAACATACTCAAATCTATGATAATGCTAATAATGCTAAAGAGCTAACCTTAACTGAACATTCCACAACGCAATTTCAAAAATTAAAAACTACAACAAAGCAATTAACAACTTTATTAATGTTAATGTTACTGGCAACTGTACAAATAAAGCATATTTTAAAAGTATTCTTACCGAGTTCAGTCTTCTTCAACCTGGCCGGCCGCAGCTTCTCCACTCTGAGGAGGATTTCTGAGA